CAACTTGGCTGGGACACATTACAAAATATCTGCAAGAGCAGCAATTATGCGGGAGGAGAAACAAAGCAAATGATGAAGTGCAGACACAGGTGTGCCCTGCCTGGGAACCAGTGCCTCCAGAGCTCCCATTACTTCCCCTTTATTTTTTCTCGACTTAAAGCACTGGCAAGGACCTCTGATACAAATCCTTAAATGGAAGCACTGATGATATCCTTGTCTTCTTCCTGTCATTATAGAAAAATATTAAAAATTTATCCACTGAGTATATTTATGATTAGATCTTAATAGATACACTTGTTCCTGGAGGGTTCTAGGACCAAATCAGGAAAGAGACTCAGAGTATCCTACTTGGTTGGCTTAGATATTTTTCAGAAAGCACAAGGGAGAAATGTGGCAGAGCAGAACAAGACGCTGAGCACACTGAGCTGGATGGAGCCCTTGCTGAGCCTGGTTGATGAGAAATCCCTCTAAGGGCTTTGGCTGCAGTAGCTCTATGGTTTTTTTGCTGCAAAGGGGGCCTATTCAGGAGGATGAGGAGGGGGCTCCTGCCCTCCAAAAGAGGGGCATGTACAGATCATTTGAAAGACTTGCACAAGGTCTATGCCCTGACCTTATGCAAGGTCTATGCCCTGTCTATGCCAGGACAGAATGAGTTTACAAACCAGTGTACTGCTCATGTGGGAATTTGTACAGCTCCTCAGACTGGAAGGAAGACTTCCCAACCAGGGAAGGAGGAGTAGTTGTTACTGCGCAACCTCTAAGAGTTCGGGGAAATCAAAATACCATTGTCATCATTGGTAAATACCAAAAATACCACTGTCATCATTGTCTGGAGGATGGCTCACACCAGGAAAAAGAACCCACAGATCCTGAGGCTCGTCTGGTGACATCCTGGACAGAAAAGAGAGTCCCGGTGATAAGTTCATAAGTTTACCTGGACCTGCTGCCCCTGTTCCTCACCCCTGAATGGCAGAGATCCTGAAGAGATGAGGAAAAGTAGGCCAGACGGGTCAGTAAAGGGAGGGGGGTGCTCCACATACACAGGAAGGAATGCAAAAAAAGAGTGCTTCTGTGGTTTAATTAGACTTTCTCACCTGAAGACAGCCCAGTCAAATCCTAGCTTTGCCCCTTGCCAAATTAGTAAATTTGTAGTTTCTTGATCTCATACCAAAACAATCCCTCGCTGGATTGTTATGAGAAATAAGTGAGATAATGTCTTCTGCTAAAAGGTGAAATTGTCAGCAATATAGTGGGCCTATTCAACATTTTTGTTTTAATTCATGAATGAGAGAATCACAATGAAGATTTTTTTTAAAGTTGGTTTGAGGAATATTTGAAAATATGTAGACAGTCAGGAAATGAAACTCTAAGTAAGGTTTTAAGTTAGATATAAGACTCTTTCTATGTTCAACTGGGTGATTGGGACTGGAATAGTCAGGGGTTTAGTATCTCTACCAGACTAGAAATTCATATCATTCCATTGATCAGATGTAAACCATCTCCTTTATCTGTTGTGACTTGTTCATCAAATAAACTTTGCCAACCACATTACACTTCCTAAAAGTGTCAGATGGTGGGAGATGAACAAGTAGCAAGGACTTGCTTCTAGGTGAATAGAATCTACATGTGACAAAGATTTAAGCAATCCCCAAACGGAAAAATATAGGTTTGAGATGACTATTTCCTTTCTCACTGATACCCAGCAAAAGCCCAAGAGGTTTTGGTAGCTTTCCTTGCCCTCTTCAGCTCATGTAGATTTAGGCCAAATTCCCCTGTTCAGGAAGCTGGTATTTGAATACAGCCACCATGGTTCTGGTCTCAAGTGGAGAGATGTTCAGGGAAGGCTTTTCCATTGGAATAAGTTCTTTTGTTCAGCTGCTAGACACCCAGCACCCAATTCCACATCTTCTCTATGCCCTTTCAACTTTTGTCACAACCATCAGGCCAAAGTCAGGAGCGTTGGGTGGAGAAGCAGGGTTTCAGATCATGGCAACTTCAGAAATCTCAGTGGCCGGATCTGCCCCATTTGGTAAAACCTGGTGTGCTTTGTGGCTTCAGTGTTGCATGAGATTTCCTCCTAAACTAATTTCTCAACTTCCTACTGCCTTCTGCTTTTTTTGTAGCTGAGAAAACAGGAACTGAATCACCTTGCTCTAGGCCCCAAGCCCTCCTAACTCTGCCCAGGGGTTCTGTGACAGTCAGAGTCTTGTTTGTAAATTACAGTTTCCAGTCGGCCTTCTCCATGGGCCTTCCAAGGATTGCCTCTTCACCTCTACCTCCAAGCTGCCAGTGCCAGATGGGTCACCTCTCCTGCCCAAACTTGAGCTCAGGTATCAACTGCCAACAGCCCAGAGCCAATGCAGCTCTCCAGAACCAGTCCATCCCTCATGGTGAAACTCTGGAGGGAACTCTGGGACACTTTCCCCATGACCCCTCCCAACCTGCTCAGAGAAAAAGACTCACTGGACTCTGAAGGAAAACCAAACAGAATTCATAATGATGAATCTCCCTCAAAAGAATCCACTAGCAGAAAGTTCAAAAATGTATTTTAAGAAAATCAAAGACACTGGGATATGTGGCATCCCCACCCCAATACACACACACACACACACACACACACACACACACACACATATCAATGTGGATAACAGAGAGGCAGAATCAGGCTGCTCCCTTCTTGTGTGTGTTCTTGAATCATATACCCTAAATATTAAGTGAGGTCTAGGACATGCCCTGGGGAACCCTGGAGCTTTCCTGTCTTTTTTTTTTTTTTCCTGGGCCACATTTGGGCCAGACACTCACCTTTAATTTATTTTTTTCCAGTCACAATGATTTTATTTTTGTATTATTTCTTTTTTTATATCATTGTTCATTTTTAAACAATATTTGCTTCCTCCCCCTCCTCAGTTGTAGTCCCCATAGAGTTTCCTTCACCCGTGTACCCGTGCACCATCACTTCAGTCCCCTGTGTTCCTCCCTCCCTCCCTCTGATCCCTCTCCTGCCTCCTCCCCTGCAGGAGGTCTCTGATTTATAATTGTCTATTTTTGTTTTGTTGTGTTTTGTATTGTTATTAACACCTTTAATTTATAACAAGATGGCCTCAGCCTCTGAGGACTGCCCTGTACTACACTTCTACAAGTCCTGCTGCACCACCCAGTTCCCCATTGAGGGAGAAGCTCTAGCTTTGGGGAGTAGATAAAGCGATCCTACAGGAAAACTGAGAAGACAGCCATTTTGTCCTGGAACCTTCCCACTTGTCCCTCATGAATCCATCTCCACGTCTATAACTAGGTTCTCCCATGGCTGTTTATGTCCCGGTCTTAATTCTCTGTCGACCGCCAGCCATGTTCACTAAGATATCAGGTGATAATAAAACTAGCCAGCAATTGATACCATGAACCCTTAAAAAGGGTTTAAGCTGTTACCTTTCCTTGTTCATTTGCAATTTAATATAATCAAAATCAGCTGCAAACAAAAAGTCCAGCAATCTGCAGCAGGGACACTGCAGTGCTAGAAGCCAGTAGACCTGAGGAGCATTTTGTTGGTGGGGATGGGGAAAGGCTGGCACTTCCTGAAACCCTGGGGGAATTGGCCACCTCTCTTCTTTTCTTGGGTATGAAACACCGCTGGCTTCTACACACACACACACACACACACACACACACACACACACAGCATTGAGTTGGTTCCTCTCCAGTCCCTCCTCCTGGGGTCACGCACACAATCAATCCAGACAGGGTCCAAGGGGCCCTGTGTTATGCAAAGGCTCATGCATGCAAGCAGCCTGTCTCCCTGGCCACAGGGCACCCCAGCCCCACAGAGCAGTAGTGGGCATAGGTGTGGGGTGTGGGCAACAGGACAGAAATGGATTTAACCCTCAGCAATCCAGTCCCAGGGAGCCCAACATCCAGCAATACTAAAAACACTCCACCTTTCATTACCAAAATCCTGCCTCTAGGACAAGTATTCCTAACCCTTCGCAAGGTCTTCAAAACCTTTCAAAAGTCTGATGAAAACCATGGAGAAACATGCTTAAATGCATACACTCAAAATCATGTATTCAACCAATTCCATTTCAGAGATACATACAGACCAGGTTCAGAACCTTGTTCAGAGATTCCAGTGGCAGCTCCCCTTCCCCTTCTCCATCACCCCCTACTATGGCCCCAGCTCCTAAGTGAGGGCAACAGAAAATATATCTGGGCACAACATGGAAAGGCAGCCTGGGTGTGGGTTCTGATGAGAGATGCCCATTCATCTTCCGGGCCTTGGGAAACCCACAGAGTAACGATAGGGGGGCTCTTTTAGAGAACTCACTCATCACCAACCGGTATATTTAGCCCACAGGACAGCATTTGTGTTCCCTACCCATTGAGTTGGCTTTTATTAATGTATTGACCTATCTGCCCATGTTAATTGAGTTGGAGATCGGGGGTGGACAAACAGGAAGAACTTTCAAAATCTCTACATGTAGGGAACAGGGTGCTATTAGTGCTACTTAATGTGGTAGTCTAATATCCACCCCCAGGCACAGAGCCCACCAATTCTAACTCTCTCTCTCTCTCTCTCTCTCTCTCTCACACACACACACACACACACACACACACACACACACACACACACACATTTCTATATAGTTATCTCCCTAACTTCCCAAGAGTCACATCTCAGACACTTAGCTGGGAATGAAATTCTAGCACATACAGCGCCATTCTTTCCATCACCCTGTGGCCATATCACTCATTTGGGAACAAACAGGAAAATCCAAGTCTTTAAGTCTGAGAGGCAACAACTTGGGACCCTGGGCTTGGAAAAGACTCAGGGGTAGTTTGAGTTCTGGTGAGAGACCTCAGGATGGAAACAGACCAGTGGGAATCCCTGCAGGCTCCTGAGAGGGACGTGGGGGACAATGGATGTTCCTTTGGCTTTCCCCACCCTCCCATCACCCCTAGGAACCTCATTCCACAAGAGAAAAGGAAGAGACCAGGAGTTACATGAGGTATCAATGACTTTATTCTCCTGCAGGAATATGTCCAGGGGCCCAGGCCCAAGACCCAGTGGCTGTTAATCTTTGTGGGATTCCTTATGGCCTAGCACGCCGATCTTTATCACAAATATGAGGTACTCCTCGAAGTTAATTGCTTTATCACTATTGATATCCAACTCTTTGAACCAAGCATCCGCACTTTTTCTCTGTCAAGAAAGAAAAAAAGAAGCCACAGTGTAGAGATGTCAGAGAGGCTGCGCTGGGGCTGTCACCACAGGACAGCCTGGTTGGCAGACCAGACCAGGGCTTCGTGGAGCTGGGAGGAAGAGCTGACCTCTCCCCGCTGCCTCACCTTCACATAATCCGGACACTCCACCTCCAGCAGTTTCTTCAAGTCACTGTCGTAGAGGGCATGGTAGTTTCCTTTCTCCAGGGAGTACTTGTGGTAGACGTTGATGAGGGAGTTCATGGCCCTCTCCAGATCCGTCATGATGGTGCCAAGTGTTTACAGACCTGAAAGAGAAAGCACGTGGGGTGTAGGGATGAGAAGGGCGCCTCTGCCCGCAGCACAGTGGAGACGAGGGGACACCCAGAGGATTCATACCCCAAGTAATAGCCTCACCCTGGCCTGTACCACCCAAATAACTAAACCAGCAGATGGCTATGGCTATGATGGGAAGGAGTGAGGGGGTGTGGGCAAGCGTGTAAGAGGGGCAAGCTACGCACACTGAGCACCTGCCAACTCTCCCTATACCTTCACTTTCTGCCCAAGAAGGGGCAGCTTAAGAACAAGTGAGCCCTCACCCCAAACTGCTACAGACTCAGCTTCTTTGTCCCCATCTTACTCTCTTCCTGCAGGAGCCCTAGATATTTGTAAGACCTCCCCTTAAGTGCTGTCTCCCCCGGAGATGGCTGCCCCACTCCCCTAGCCCTCCCCAGGAAAAGCCTGAAGTATGAAGGCCAGACCCAGGCAGTCCCGCTTACCAGGTCTTTCTGAAACAGAGGTGACAGTGAATGCAAGGTGGAGCGGCAGCTCCCTTTATAACGACTGGGCCTGGCCAATTGCCCAGATCCTCAAGCCATTCAGAGACAGCGGTTCCTTTCCAGGGTTGTACAATCTATAGTTTCTCAACCAGGTGAATGGGGCAATCACTGCACAGAATGAAAATTTCTGAGGAGGGGTGGAGAAGGAAATGTGGAAGGAAGAAGATGTTTGCCTGGCAGTCGACCCAGCAGGAGAAACCGGAAGAGGTATGGTGAGCACCCCTGCTGATGGCCCTGGCATCTCCTGGTATGGCCTCCTGAATCCTCCCCACTGTTACTGTTGCTAATCCTGTGCATTGTGGCCTGTCTGTTCATCTCTGAAGTGGATTGACATTGAAATCATATATGCATATGAGCACATTTCTCCATGACTTTCATCAGGTTCTCAAAGGGTCCAAACACCACTAAGAGGTTAAGAACACTTGTCCAAGTAGAAGGATTTTGGTAATGAAAGGTGGAGTGTTTCTAGTATTGGGTTGTTTTGCGTGGATGTAGGGCTCCCTGGGACTGGATTGCTGAAGGCTAAATCCATTTCTGTCCTGCTGCCCACGCCCCTTCACAATGTTCCTGCTCTGGGGTGCCCTGTGGCCAGGGAGACAAGTTGCTTGAGGCCCCTTCACATGTATGAGCCTCTGCGTAACACAGGGCCCCTTGGACCCTGTCTGGATTGATTGTGTGCCTGACCCCAGGAGGAGGGACTGGAGAGGAACCAAACTCAATGCTGTGTGTATGTGTTTGCAGAAGCCAGCAGTGTTTCACGCCCAAAAAGAGAAGAGAGGTGGCCAATTCCCCCAGGGTTTCAAGAGATGCCAGCCTTTCCCCATCCCCACCAACAAAATGCTCCTCAGACTGACTTCCAGCACTGATGATTCCCGGTGTGTTTCTCCAGTTACAAAGCACTTCACATGCATATAATCTATTAAGAACCTCAGAACTGGGCGTCCCCTGGTGGCACAGCAATTGAGCGCTGGGCTGCAGGGCTGCCCCCGGCCTCTGCAGCACTGGTTCGATTCCTGGCCGCCGGCGAGGGTCCCACATGGCAAGACAGACCTCTACTGCCATGTCCACTGCTCCCCTCAGCAGTGTATTTCGTCAGTCTGCCTGTTCTGTTCCCCGCTCTGGCTCTGGTGAATTCTCTCACCCTCCCGCACTTCTGACTATACCCAGTGCCTGTATAAATAAATAAATAAATCTTTTTTAAAAAAAGAACCTCAGAACTGCCTATCAGGATGGTATGATGCAGAATGAGCTGTCTACAGAGACGGAAGCTGAGGCCTAGAGGTGAAATAGTTCACCCAGCGTCCCCTAAGGGTGGATGTGTCAGGACCCAGACCCATCCAGAGCATCAGGTTCCACTTGTGAACTTACAGGAACACCACCCAGCTGGATGATTCCTTTCTTCCTTCCTGTATTCAACAGATATTTTCCTGGTGCTTCTCCAGTACCGAGGCTACCGTCACCCTCTGGAGGAAGTAAATGGGAATGCCCTCTCTTTCTCCATGTTTCACAGCTGTTTTGGTTTTCTTTATATCATTAACTTTATAGCTATGTAAACTTGGGTCAGCTACTTATCCCCTCTGTGCCTAGGTTACCTCAATTATTAAATGGTGATTAAAAATAGAGTCCACCTTCAACCTACAGAATGGGCGAAAATATTTGCAAAGCTCATATCTGATAAGGTGCTAATAAGAGTATCTGAAGAACTCCTACAATTCAACATAAAAACAAATCGGGCAAAGAACTTGAATAAACATTTCTCCAAGATATGCAAATGGTTAACAAGCACATTAAAAGATGCTCTCCATCACCAACCATTCGGGAAATGCAAATCAAAACCACAGTGATAATTCCCCTCATATCCACTAGAATGACTACTATTAAAAAAAAAACAAAACAGGAAAAATATGTGTTGCTGAGGATGTGGAGAAATTGGAACCCTCATGTACTCTGCTGATGGTAACATAGAATAGTGCAGCTGCTATGAAAAATGGTAGGATGTTTCCTCAAAAAATTAAAAATAAAATTATCACATGATGCAGCTATTCCACTTCTGGGTATACATTCAAAATAATTGAGAGCACAGACTCAAAAGAAGAGATGTGAACACCTGTGTTCACAGCATTATTCACAATAGCCAAAATGTGGAAGCAACCCATGTGTTCAATGACGGAAGACTGAATAAAGTGTGATGTATACATATGGTGGAATGTTATTCAGCCTTTAAAAAGGGAAGAGGGGCCTCCCCAGTGTCTCAGCAGTTGAGCACTGGGCTGCAAAGCTGCCCACAGCCTCTGCAGCGCCGGTTCGATCCCCAGCTGCTGGCGAGGGTCCCACATGGCGTGCAAACCTCTTGTGCCGCGCCCGCTGCTCCCCTCAGCAGTGTACTTCGTCAGTCTGCCTGTTCTGCTCCCCGCTCTGGCTCTAGGGAATTCTCTCACCCTCCCACACTTCTGACTGTACCCAGTGCTTGTATAAATAAATCTTAAAAAAAATAAAATAAAAAGGGAAGATAGTTCTGACACTTGATATATATGAGTGACCCTGGAGGACATTGTGCTGAGTGAAGTAAGCCAGTCTCTGAAGGACAAACACTATGTAATTCCATTTGTATGAGATAACTCCAGTAATCAAATTCATAGAATGAGGGGTTTTCAGAACCTAAGGTGAGTGGGGTAGGAGTTATTGTTCAATGGGCATAGAGCTTCAGTTGCCCGGTTCAGATGGTAAGTTCTGGAGATTGGTTGTACAACAGCGTGAAGATACTCAACACAGCTGAACTGAACACTTGAAAGTGGTCAAGAGAGGGTCTCCCTGGTAGCCTATGGATTGAGTCTCAGCGCTATCACTGCTATGGCATGACTTCGATCCCCGGCCAGGGAATTACTCCACATGGCACAGCAGACCTTTCCTATTTCTTCCTCTTCTCTCCTCAGCAGTGTATTTTGGTCAGTCTGCCTGTTCTGCTCCCCACTCTGTCTCTGGTGAATCCTCTCACCCCCCACAACATCTGACCTATACCCTAGTTCTTGTATGCAAAAAAAATTAAGTTTTTTAAATAATAAAAAGCTTTTTTTTAAAAGTGGTAAAGAGGCTAAGTTTTGTTGTGTGTATTTTACCACAGTGTAAGATATATAATTACCTGAAAAATAGAATCTACCTTAAAGTGTTGTAAGGATGCAAAATATTTATGATTTGAGGACTTTTTAACATGTATTATACTTTAATAAAGTTTGCACCATAACAACGTGTGAAGTGCTTGAGCCAAACACCATGAGCAAGCACCATGCAAGCACAGAATGACAACTGTCCCATAAGCATAAGCCTCCAGCCAGCCTGCGTGACCTCCAGGACCCAGGCAGGATCACCCCTCTCTGCATCCCTGGACCCAGCACTATGCCAGGAACACACAACTACAATCAATAATAAGAACAAATAATAGCTTAAATTTATTGTTCTTTTATCATGTGCCAGAATTTTATTTACATAAATTCATTTAATTTTCACAATAATCCTCCTATGAGGAATGCACTATTATAACTCCCATTTTACAAAAGAGGAGACTGAAGGCATCAAAGGACAGAGGTGACATCCTCCACTTCCTGCCCCACCTGGTTTGCCTCTTGGCTGGTAAAGCCCTCCTCCTCCGGCCTGCTGCAGCCCAGGGACCATCTGCTCTGTCTCATCTCAACCCTCCTTCCCCGACCCTATCAGCACAGAGTTCATTCTTCTCTCCTCAGTATCACCCAATCCTTATGCATCAAAGCATCTGTCCTGCCCTATTATGATTCATGTGTTTATTGTCTGTCTTTTCTTTGGGACTTTAAGCCCTGTTAGAGCAGAAACCAGCTCACACCCCTAGGGTCTGGTTCACACTACATGCTCAATGGATACTTATTGAGAAGATAAATGAACATGACATTGAACTTTTGATCCATCCCTGATTCAGTGCAGAAACTCCCTTTAGCACAACCAGCTACATTAAATCACTTTGGGAACAGAGCAGGATATATATTCATCAACCAAATGCAGTCTGACTTCCTGGAGGTTGGCCCACATCTTCTTATTAGGAAAACAGGGCTGTTCCTGATATCTAACGTGACAAGTGTTTGACCAGCAATGGAGCACCTGGTATACGTACTTATCCCTCACCAGGCCCTCTCCCACGCCACGTGGCATAATAGTACCTTAGCACACACATATTTTCAAGGTGATTTTATATCTACTAACTTATTAGATAACCTAGCCCAGGCTCAAGCTGCGGAAGTGAGAACAGAGCCATGGAGACAAGCCCCAGGAAGGGGCCCGGGCGGGTACAGAGGAACTCAGCTGAGCCACTACCTTAAAACCCAAAGTTCTGTAGAAAACAACACATTTCCAGTGAGGCATCAGGGAGAGTCCTCCCCTAGGACTCATGAGGTGGACATGACAGATACAATTACCCCTAGGGGATAGATGGGGAAACTGAGGCAAGCGGTGTTACTCCAGGTCCTACTTATGGGCATATGTTCTGCTTTGTCTTGGTGCCCAGGTGTCCAAAACACACATTAGAACAAGCAAGGTGAATTTTCTGAGACTCTATTAAGATTTGCTTCCCCATTCAGAAGAGCACCTGTCTGATGGGGCCCAGGAGACACTAGTCTGTCTCAATGTGGGGGTTGATGAGGTTGATGGAAACTATGTCATCCCAGACCCCAGACCTTTCAGGATATGATGCCTTGAAGATGCTCCCCTGAGGACATTTGGAGGTGCAGGGGCAGAGGAAGATAGTTTTCTTCATACAGAAAAAAAGGAAAACATGTCTCAGCCACAGCCAGGAAGATCTAGGGGGAACCTGAGCCACCGCCTCTTCCCATGTGGCATGCTGGGCTGTGAAGCCACCTGGCATCACTCCTGAAATGCTCCCCTGGACAGACAGCCTGGGGGCTTCCAAGAGAGCAGGCATCAGTGTGAGCTGGCCTTGCAGAAGAAGGCTCAAGAATTGAGTAAGCACATTGGGGGGGGGGAGGGCAAGGCCTGTAATCAGACTGATGGACATGGGGCAACCTCACGGGAGCAGAACCTGGTCCTGTTTACAGGAAAGAGCTCCCTCTCCGCTGTGTGTCCCAATGCCCAGGCCCAAGCTGCGGAAGTGAGAACAGAGCCATGGAGACAAGCCCCAGGAAGGGGCCGGGGCGGGTGCCAGAGGAACTCAGCTGAGCCACTACCTTAAAACCCAAAGTTCTGTAAAAAACAACACATTTCCAGTGAGGTATCAGGGAAAGTCCTTCCCTAGGCCTGGAGGAAGCATGGCTTGTGTCACCCAGTCCACTGTCTCTGTGTCTGGAGGTGACTAAGCAGCCACAGGGGGCAGCACAGATCCCGGTCCCTAGGTGGCAATTCAAGGCCCCTGGTCCAGCATTCTGTCCTCAGCACTGTGTACCGGCACTCATCATAGTCAGACAGACAGATGGAGCGACCTCTGGAGAGTAGAACCTGGGACAGGGTGATGACAGGATGTGGTCCCTGGCTTGGTGGAGGACACAGGCAACAAAACAAAGCATAGGAGCAAGTCTAGACCCGAGAGCAGGTGGAAAGCCCAGAGGGGCTGGGAGAGGACCCAGCAGAGTCCTGGGAGGCAGCCAGGCTGAGCAGCAATGTGGAAGGGGCCATGGTAGCAGGACACGCCCAGGTAGCAGGGGCAGAATTTTGCTTCAGAGCTTGGCTGATGAGAAACAGGGGCCCCTGGGTTCAGCTCTCAGGTGCTGCTGGCCTTGTTGGGCACCCAATTCCATCAGATGGGAGAAGGAACCACCCAAGTTCCTTAAATAACCACCCAATTATTTGCACGGGAAGCAATGCAGAGGATCACCCATCGTTCTTTTCAAACCCATTGTTTCTATCAGAATAAGCTCTGTGCATGAGTTCATATCCATCTTCAGAGTAGAAACACACAAGATGGGCCCAGCAGGACTTGAAGGCAGAGGAGGCTTCCTGAAAGATTCTGCATCAGATTCCTGAGTTTCCAGGGAGAAAGAGAAAAACAAATACCACAAGACAGGGACAGACATGGCCAGGAGGCTCAGGAGCCATGGGAGGGCTTGGAGCATGAGTCACCAGTAACCCTGAGTCGGAGTCCCGCCCACATCCATCATCAACTTTATTAGTAAAAAACCAGACCCACCGCTTCTCTCCTCCAAGAAGCCTTCCTTGACTGACCCAGGTTCCACACATCGCTCTTTCGCATAACAGTTAAGCCCTTGTCCCATCTCTGACTCAGCATGTGCAAAGTCACTGCACAGTCCTAGCACACACTGGCCCCACCACCCCCACCCCACAGCAATTAAGACATCACCTTTCCTGCCTGCCTGTTCTGACCCTGTCCCAGGCCCAGGCCACCCCACCTTTGTCCACTGATTCCTTTGGGCTCTCTTCTAGAGCAGGGAGTCTTTCAATGGCAGGGCCAATGTCCAGTGTGCCTGTCTCCTTCTGGCTCCTGTCCCTCTGTGCATGTGTAGAGAGTCAGTGACCAAGATATCACCAGTGTGGCCTGGCTCCTCCCCAGAGAAGAGATTTCTCCTTCTCATACTCAAAACAGAGGCTGGGCTGTCTCCCCACTCGGCTGGGGCTGCTGGAGGCAGGGTCTGCCTCTCGTCCAAAATGGATGTTCTCCAGGTAGGACCAAATCTCCTTTCTCTGGGCCACAGCAGACGTCCAGAACGATGAACTGACCAATACCCAGAAAAATTTTGAAGTCATTTTATTCTCGTCCCACACAGCTCTCTTCCGCAGACATATGCTCTCAAGCACACACACGCCTGAGCACACACAGAGTTCTCCATTCAGCAGCCCAAAGTCTGCCATGCCTACTCCTCAAGGCAGGCCTCTGTGGGGGGGAGACCACCTGTGCCCCCCTAATAGAGGTTGTGCTGGGCGCAGTGGTAGGCACACAGCTGTCGGTGGTACTGCAGGTGGTAGTCCTTCACCAGCTTGCCCAGGATGTAGAGGAACTCCTCAAAGCAGATCTGGTTGTCCTTGTTCTTGTCTGCAGCCCGGAACAGCTCTGCAATGTAGTACGGCTGCTTCCGGCCCTGAGAAAATAGGTGGAGGTCAGCCACCCACCCAGGCCCACAGCCTCAAGCGGGCTTCCCCCACCGGAAGGATGGCCAGGGATCTGGGTGTGGCCCTACCTGCAAGGCTAGCACTCACTAGATGGCCAGGACCCTGTGCAGCAGAATCAGGCTGAAGAGGCCTTGACTAACCAGGCCTGGGCTGCATGGAGCAGACAGGAGGCGCCAATTGGCACTGTTTGTGGCTTGATTGTCTACAGTGACTGAGCAGCTGAGCAACCTGCACCTCCAGATACACTTCACGTCCATCCACGCTGGTGACTGGTTAAGCCTGTCTTCCCAGCTGAGCGGCAAGCTCCCTGCCCAGGGGCTCCAGAGGACAGGCTGGGCCTTTGCCTCATTTTTGGAGACAACTGTCCCTGGTCCCAGCTCTATGGCAGGGCTGGCAGCAAGTGGGGGTCCAGATGTCTGCAGGCTGTGGCATCTGCCTGCGAAATTTTGTGACAGTTGCTTATGGTATCAAAGGAAAGTACAGAATGAGGGGGACAACAAAGCCCCAGAGCAGGTGGCCCTGAGGGCTGCAGGTTGAGGGTGGTATAGAAGAGAGAAGCCTTTGAGATAGAGGGACAGCATGAAGAGAATTGGGAGAGCACAGTGAGGAGATGAGACAGTAAATATAGGGTGGGCATCAAGGAGCACTGGGCAGGGACAGCGAAGTAGGTTTTGGCAATGTTTGGTTGGTGGGAGTGGGCACCTGGTATGGAATTCTCAGAAAGAACTGGGGAAGGAAGTTACTGTGTCTGAAGCAGCTGTGGGCCTGGGAGCCCCTCAGTCGAGTGGGCAGATTTACACCCTCTCCTCAGCACCCCCTCCCCACTCCACAAAGCCGGTTGAACAGACAAGAGCTGGAAGTGTCCTGCCCTGGTCAGGCTCTCCCAGCTTCTCTGATCTCAGTGCCCCAGCCCAGGCTGCTAGCTGTCTGCCCTATGCCCACATCAGTCCTGAGGGCCCTGTCCCCGGTGGAGCTGTGAGTCCCAGGATTGGCAGGGCCTGGTGGTCCTTGCACAGCCCTAGACATGGGACTGGCCAGGGTCACCCTCATCTCTGATGTGACCCTCATGGTAACATTTCAATGAGACAGAAGGTCAGACAGTCTCCGACATTCCTGGTGGTAGGCAGGGGAATGGGAAGTGACCCCAGGCACCACTTTTCCTAGAATATAGTGCCCTCAAGTCCTCTAGAGATCACTGTTCAGAGACCCCTGGGGCGTGGAGCCAAGGGAAACACCAACAGACACCAGAAGGATTCTCAGTCCCCAAGGAGCCCATTAATCATGGGGCTGGGCCTGATGACAGAGATGAAGCACAGCCCTGAGGAGGATTTGGGGCCAGGTCCCCAGGCTCATCTGAGAGGCTCTGTCAGCCCTGCGGACAGGGGAGGGGAAGCTTTGTTTCTAAGTACACCCATACCTTATGACTTGGGGTAACCCCCTCCCCTGGGTTGGGGGGCAAGAAGAAACTGTGGTAGGCCCAGAAGAAGGAACTAGGGTTCAAAAGCTAAGGATGGGACCATATCACAGACTGAATAGGCCTGTGGGAGAGGGAAGTTTAAGGCCTGTTCTCTTGGGAAGCAGGATGGGCCAGGGAATAAACAGGTTTGGGGTTAGGATTGAGTTTCAGGGATTAGCCACGCTTGGGCTGGAGTGGGTCCAGGCAGGGTGTTTCAAGGAAGGAAAGGCAAGAAGTACCTGCAGGCCCACCCTCTCTCTGCTATCTGATCCTGCCCTCCATTCCCCTCACTCTCCCTTCCCCAGGTGGAATTTCTCCTGGGAGACAGCAACTTTGTGCCTACACTCTCACCACTCACTTCCAAGCCCACAGCCAATCCTGCACGGGTCCCCGGGAGCCCTCGCCACCCTCATCTGACAGTCCCTTCTCACCAAGGTCTCCATGAAGCGGGGCACATTGTCCATGAGCAGGGCCTTCAACTCCTCTAGAGATAGGGTCTCCACGTCCCCCTCCCGAGCCGCGTACTGGTGGTAGCAGTGGATGATCTGAAAGAGGGACTCCTCCACTGGCGTGTCTGTCATGGCAGCTGGGCCCTGGGCCAGGGTGGGAGACAACTCTGGAGCTGAAGTGGAGCAGTGGTGGCCAGCAGGGAATCTGGGAGGAGAGAGCAGCACCTCATCTGCATAGCCCACAGCAGGCCAGGAGCTTCCTCTGAGAATCTTCTGCCTCTCACTCTGCCCACCACTTCCTTCCCAGCAGGAAGCTGTGCTGGGAACACTCAGGACCTGGTTCCATCTGAGGATGGGATTCTCCACACCCCAAATCTGCCCTCAGCTGAGAGTTACATAAAGAAACACAAATCTTCAAAGCAAGATAGTGTTTTCCAATGGAACTATGTTAAACCCCCTGAGAAGGCCAGATTCTCCACTACCACAGACTATTTTTACCAATGAAATACAGATTTAAAATAATGACACCACCCAGAAGCCCCATCCTTGTGCTGTATTGTTGTTTTGCTTTCTCAATTGACTGTCCAGACAACACATAATTCCCATCTGGGCTCCCACCCTCTCTCCAGGCATCCGCGTACCATCCACACAGCCCCTCCTGGACCCAGACCCTCCCGGAGCTTCTGTGTGGGTGGCCAGTGTTGGGGCAGCAGGAGCACCATCCAGGTGCTCAGCACACAGGTAAAGCTTGATGCCCAAGACCGTCACTCCCCACTTCCTACAGAGAAAAGACCTTCCTATTCGGGGGCAGGGTTGCCCTGTTGAGCCAACAGTCCTCCTCGTATTGGATGCAGCTAAGAGTCATGATGGGCTTCCATGTGATGGAGCCAGCCGAGCACCAAGCAAAGCCCTTTGCATACACTAACCCACGAGGACCTCAGGACCCGCAAGGACCTTAGGAGGGAAGCACAACTAACATCATGTCCTGGATTTCCTGGGAGGAAATGGGATTGGAGAGATGAGTAAACTCCCCAAGATCACATACCTGATCTACCTGGAGCTGTATTCAAGCCAAGGTCTTTGGGACAACACCAAAGATTTGCTTTTCATTGGAGTCCCCAAACCTCTTTGGAATCCTAATGAAGAAGTTTGGGGCACCCATCTACACTGCACATGCTCTCCAAAACAAATAAGCACCCATCTCTGCTCCCTTGAACCTGCACAGACTCAACACAGTCCAGCCTAACCCACACCACTTTTGGAAAAGACTCTGACCTGCCGCTGTAGGGTGATGCTGCTCCGAATCAACAGCTCCAGCCTGCGGCTTACCCAAGATTCCCCAGCATGCAGCCAGGAGACAGCCGTATGAGCTGGGATCCCAGCACCAAGCTCCACATCCTTCCCATCCTCTGCCTCCAATTATGGCAGCCAGGGCTATGAGTGCTTTCAGCCAGCACGACAGAGCCCTAATTACATTCCTGAGATGACCTCACATGACACTCACTTCCAGCGATTAACTCAACTGGTTTCAGGGACCCACCTTCCCTCAGAGCTTGGTGGAAGCATCTCAGAGCCACAGAAGGTCATGTTATCCTCTGAGCCTGGCTCAGATCTCCTCCTCCCAGCTCCAGGGCTTGGGTGGGGTCACACAGCTTAAATATATCTTCCTTGGATGTTCTCCTTCAATTAATGAACCCCCAACTTCCACAGCCATGAAGCACATTCATTCAGTCAACAAATATTTCTTGAGCACTGCAGTTTCCAGGCCCTCTCTAGGCAATACGAGTAAGACATAGGCCAGCTCACTGGGTGGGGACAAGCAGAGGGGACAGAGTCACACCCTGGCACCACGCGCTGTGAACACTACTAATTTTGTGACACAAACAGGGTACCCAGGGAATCCTTGCCACCCAGAAAGCAACACCTTCTTCCTGGAGAGTTTCCTTGGGGAGATGATATTTGAGTTGCACATGAAGAGCACATTTTATGACAAGGAAGAGACCAGGGCAAAAGCGTGGGGTACAAGAGTGCCCCCACTCAGGGAGGAACGTTCACAGAGTGCCTCATGAGCATTTACAAAAGGCTGGAGAGGCAGGATGAAGACAAGCAGTGAAGGGCTCTGTGTGCCAAGCAAGGGGTCCACTTTATCCTATGCACAGAGAGAAGCTAATGGTGAATTTTAAAATGGACTGAGTGATGGGTAAGAAGTGAGAGAGAAGTGGTAGGACAGCTGTGTTAAAAGAAAGTGACTGCAATGGGGAGCTGACCATACTCTAAGGCAGGGGGAAGGGCAGACACGTAGGCTTGGCCACCATACAGGTGCCACTTGAGCCCTTGAGTGACAGGTGACCTCCCCCCAGCTCAAGTCCTCTGTCAGCCAATCCTTCCACCTTATCCCACCTCACCCACACATCTCCCCAGGGAGGGACTGCACAGGCCAATGAGTAAGTGTCCCAGAAGGGAGTGGAGTGTCCCAAAAGGACAGATAATTAAGAGTATAAGTCTAGGTAACGAAGATTTGAAAGGAAATAGGAAAATAATTAATCCAAAACTTTCTCCACTTTGTAGAGTGTGTCTTCAGCTACCCAACATAATGACTTCATTGGCCAGTAAGTGGCAAATCAACACACTTTTATGTTTCTGGAGGGAAAAAATCTGTAAAACAATTTGGCAATGCCGTGCTAGCTAGAGCCATGAAGAATTTTATTGAGTACCTTTCATTCAGTCATCATTCCCTGTCAACTTATCCCAAGAGAGTAATTAATCAGATGTTTAAAAACAACAAATAGGAAAATGTCCACCAATGCAAAATCTATAGCCAACAAACAAAAACCCTGAAATTACCTAGATTAACAATTTTGGTATGCCAAATAGCCGGGAACAATCGCTGGATTTGTCATTCAAAAGGAACTCCATTTTGACCCATATCTTGTTTCGGGGAGAAGGTTATATCACACCCCCCTTTATGCTGCTTTTTGTCAAACCTGGGGCAAAATGACTTCCCATGTGTTCCAAAGCATAGTGACCATCTCCTCCTGCTGTGCTGCAACTACTTTGCAATTAGTGCCATGCTAAGGATAGCTCAAACACATTTGATGCTAGCGGGTTAATGTTTTTACACAAATGATAATATTTTATCATAGAAAAAGCACCCCAAATATAGGACTTCATAGACACTGGTAGGTGAGCAAGTGCAATTAAAAGTAAACACAAAATAAAGAGGCAAAACTTATGCCCATTTTGCCTTTAGGAGAAAATGTTATGTTCCCCTGCTGGGGGTGATCCCACCCAGAGCAGCAACGTGACTACATCTCCCTTGAGTGCATTAGATTGCTTTGTGAACTACCATGCCGTTTTTTTTTTTAAGATTTATTTATTTATTTATACAAGCACTGGGTACAGTCAGAGGCGCAGGAAGGTGAGAGAATTCATCAGAGCCAGAACACAGAGTAGAACAGGCAGAGTGACGAAGTACCTGCTGAGGGGAGCAGCAGGCGGCAGGAGAGGTCTGCACGCCATGTGGGACACTCACCTGGCGGCCGGGGATCGAACCGGCGCTGCAGAGGCTCCTTCGCAAGCCAGCAGCTTGCGAAGCCAGCTGGGCAGCTTCGCAAGCCAGCGCTCAACTGCTGAACCACCAGAAGGCCCTACCATGCCCATTTTAACAATTTCAAAATGATAGCAAGAAGTGGCCTCAAATAAATTACAAAAATTCTCATTCTTAACCTTCTTTTGACAACTGACAAAAGAAAGATTCCATATCACACTTTATGATAGAGTTTGAGCTGATGCCTGTGCTCTGATGCCACTCTGATTTTTAACAAGTACAAGAGCAATCATTTGTTTGCATGATCAAAATTTATTTTATTAACCTATTATTATTACATATTTAAGTTCATACACTTTAATCAACTCTTCCCTAATATTGTTATTTTTCAGAATTTTGCAATGTGTGCTAAGTGCTGGAGTGAAGGACAACAGAAAAAAGAATTTGTATCCCCTTCTACCAGAGCCACCACTGTGCAAGGACCACCCCCCCCCCAGTATCAGAGATGCCACCCACCTCCTATAACCACATATAAGCGCCTGAGCCCCAGCTCCACAATCACCCCCTGCACACTCACATTCAGACACAGGCTTCACCACTGCAGAGTACACCCCTATGCCAGTCCCAAGAGGTATTCCATTCAGCCACAACTCCTCTGGGGGAAAGGGGGAAAAGAAGTACCCCAAAAGCTTTCACCACCCTAATATAAAATTCAATTGTGACCTTTATGGTGTTACATTAATCTGTATCTATACACATGTTTTTACCTTTATCTGTGAACTTTGTGTTTTCCTATGCTTTCATATTATTGTTTAATGAATTTTCATTTCAGTTTGGAAAACTCCCTAAGACACTTTTTGTAAGGCATGTCTAGTGGTAACAAGTTCCCTCAGTTTTGTTTGTATGGGAAAACAAAAAGGAAAGTCCAGGACCTAATGACTTCATGGGTAAATTCTATAAAATGGTCAAAGAAAAATTAATACCAATGCTTCCTAAACTCTTCCCAAAAAGTAGAAGAAAGAGGCAGACCGGGCACACAGGGAGTGCGTCCCGCATCGCCATTTTAGAACAGGGACATTTCTCCAGTAAAGACTGCCTGAAAACAGCAGAAGGCTCCCTGAGGAGCCAGAGGTGAGCTGGGAAGTTTGCCCACACCAGGTCCCTTCTGGCCTGTAGTCCCAGCCCAGAGGGGGAGCAGGAACCCACCGCCAGGGCAGACCAGGTGTGCAGGGGAGCGTGTCCCCGCATCGGCATTTTAGAACAGGGACCTTTCTTCAGTAAAGACTGCTTGAAACCGACAGATGACTCCTGGAGGAGCCAGAGGGGAGTGGAGAAGTTCACCCAAGATGCCAGCCAGTCCCAGCAACACAGTGTCCCAATGCATATGGCAAATTAGAAAACAGACAGTAGAGAGTAGAAGAACCACACGCAACCTAGCAACTCCTCAGGAAAAAAGCACACCACAAAAAGAAAACCACCCCCCAGATTGCAACGACAGTAACTTGGAAGAATTTCTGAGCATTCCAGAAAGAGAATTTAAAAGTGCCATGATTAAAAAACTGACAGAAGTCATAAAGGAAAACAA